GGGGTGGGGGTCAAAAAACGCCCAGATGCACGTTTTTCTTTAAAAAAGATTCAGCAATGGGAAAAATATACCGCATTGGGAAAAAGAAGATATATTTTTCTACGAAACTTTTCATGCTGGGTTTTATTTTAAATAGATTCAGATAAACTTTAACAAAGGGACTGTAAGCGTAATTTCAAATGACCCTCCATCTAAAGAGAAGAATGTCCAATTCAAATTGGTCCCTTTAAAAGCATAGTAAGAATTAGTGAGATATCCATGTTTCTCTTTTTTAACATTGATTATTTTTAATCATAGTTTCTCATACAGCAAACGTAAACAACTTATCTGCTCGTCTGCTTTTAGTCCTTCGTTTTTGCTCTGAAAGTCGGCATTCTTAACCGTTCTTAAATTTTCGCGGGTTTTTCTGTTAAAACTGGTGCATTTCAACGAAATAAGAAATGTTGACATTTTTTCCATGCAATTCGTCTACTTCGATCCACCAATAACGTTCTCTGAGGTCATGTGAGTTGCCACAAAAATGTGGGCCCAATCGGTGAAGGTGTTTTGACGTTTATACAAGCAAACAAACTGACAGACAGACAAGCCAAATTTATTTATAAATAAAATTTATAGAGCAGAAACATCAAGGGAAATGATGAATTATGTACAAGAGTCAGATTATCACTGTAATCAAAATAATAAAACATTTGTTTAATCTTGATAAACTCGATTAGAAACAATCATTTTTATATTCTGAAGAAAAAAAAATCAAAATACATATATAATTTTAATCATCTACATTGAAAATGAACAGAAAATGTTACGTTGGACTTATATCTGTAATTAAACAAGGTACTTAACAAATTTTCTTTGGCGCTCCGCGCACACGTGAAAAGAATTGATTGACTCATATCATTAATTTTACAGTGGTTGAAAGTATAAATTTAAAAAAAAACTAGATGAGAATAATTTGAATTGAACACAGCCAAACAACTGAAAATTTCCTTTTTTCGACAACAAACCCTTAAAATTGCACTTTTATTTTGAAAAAATTTTCAAAATGGGGGGCCCCACAACCCCTCCCCCAGACCATTACAAAATAATATTTTGCCCCCCACCCTTAGCAAAAGTGCTAGTTGCGCCTCTTGAAATTAGAATATAAACAAAGACAATAAATTTTTAACGTTTTGCAGAGCTTTTCTAAAGATTTAAAAAAGTAACTGCATCTTTTTCCTCTTAGAGTAAAACCTTTTTTTATGTTACTTAAAATAAATTCAGTTTTTTTACAGATCTTTGTAGCTAATGTAAAATGAATGACTATAATGAAGTCAATGAAGGATATAAAACATGGTGAAAGCTGAAAGATAGGAAATGAAGCCTTTATTTGATAGAGTTTGTAAATGCCAGAATGAGTGGAAAATGCAAATCAAACCCAACTAAAACCAATAATTTGATATACATTATGATATTTTTCTAGAGGGGGGGGGTTAAAAAATTCGCTTCTCGCGCCACATTTTAAAAATTTATCCCCGCCCCTAAAGAATCCTTATTTACGCCCCTATGCGCCTGATTCTATTTCAACTTCTTGTAATGTGTATTGTGTAAAGACCTGTCCAATATTTATTTTTTTCTTAAAATTCTCCGTTAAAATCCTGTCCTGAAATTCGACGGACAGATTCTCAAAGCTCTTTGTCTTTGTGATTGTAAAACAAAATAAATATTTCCTCCGCTAGATGTCTCTGTAAAACTACCCTTGTGGCTTTCCTTTACTCCACCCCCTGACTGTTAACCCCCTCTATATTTACTCCCCGTGCAGCCAACGCCCCTCCTAACCAACCAACGCTCCGCTCCTCGGTCAAATTATTTGCGTCAAATTTAAACAATTTTCGAGGATTTTCTGAAATTAATTAAATTTCAAATTTTCAAATTTTACCAACATAAAAGGTTCAAATTTATCATTTTTGCAAATTAAATTTTCGTTGATATCTGATGAAAGATCTAATGTTTGTACGGATCCTGATTTGACTTGTGAATCTACCGGCGTCGGTGAATTCTGTCTAGGACCAGTTCTCCATTAACCGGCGGAAAGTGCAGATCGATTTAAATCTCAGAAAAGTTTAATAACAAGTCTACAAAAATGGCCGGAGAAACCGTTGTTGAGACTCCTGTCCAGGATAACAAAATCGAGGAGGTGGTGAAAACCGACAAAGAGGTTATTGCTGAGGAGGAGAAGGAGGCCGCAGCGCAGCTGGAGGAGAAAAAAGACGAGGAAAAGAAAGAGGAGAAGGAGAAGCCAGCGCCTAAAGAAAAGGAAATTATTTCAGAATTATTTAATTTATCGAAATTCTATTTTAAATTAAAGATAAAATCATTTTTGTTTTGAATTTCTGAATTAATGGGGTGAACAGGTTGAGAAGGCTAAAAGGTTCCCTGTTTTTAAACAAGATTTTGAACCTGATACTGTTTATCTGTATCAGTTCAGCAGGTATTTATTCATTTCATCTTTTCTTTTATTTCGTCATTATTTTTTTGTTTTAAACTTTTAAATTTTTTTTATCTGTCATTAAATGATGTTTTCAGTCTATTTGTTTGTTTAAAATAATTTTATATATTAAACAAATAACTGGCAATCATGTAAATTTATGAATCATAATTATTAAATTTAGTTATTTTTATCCCTTTTTTTGGCTCATATTCAATTTTTGACAGTTAATCATGGTAAATTAGAATAAGGTTTTTAGTTTTTGTCTAAAATTTTGATTTATTTTTGCCCCGAACATAAAAAATATTTCATGGTCTTTTTCCGTTAAGGTTACAATTACATATGTCCTTAAGTAGCCAGTTATGTTATTGCATGGTTCTAACATGTCAGATGTCTAATTATTATATTGTTCATTAAGGCGTTATTAATAATTATATGGGTATATTCCTAGAGAACGATTTTTGAACCCCCCCT